TGTAGCCTGTGTTGTTGTGCCTGTACCTGTGTGTGTTTTTCCCGGCAGGGATCAGTCTGCCCGAGGGAGTGGACCCCTCTTTCCTGGCAGCGCTGCCTGAGGATATCCGGAGGGAAGTGCTACAGAACCAGCTGGGAATCCGGCCTCCGAACCGGGTGCGCGAGAGGGAGCGGGAGAGAGAGCGAGACCGGGAGAGAGAGAGAGCGACGGCAGCGACTGTAGCCACTGCTGTCGCTGCTGCTGCTGCTGCTTCTCTGGTGGGTACCCAGCCCGTCAGCGAGGTCAGCCCTGAGTTCCTGGCCGCCCTGCCCCCCGCCATCCAGGAGGAGGTACGTACCCCCTAACACACCCTCACACACACACACTCTCACACATACACCCTCACACATCATCACCCACACACACCCTCACATACACACACACCCTCACACACACACACACACCCTCTCACACACACACGCATCATGTTGATGATGATGTTAGTGTTGATGTTAATGGTGCTATCCCAGGTCCTTGCCCAGCAGAGAGTAGAGCAGCAGCGGCGAGAGCTGGCGCACACAGCGAACCCTGACACCCCCGATGGACCCGGTGACTTTTATCCAGACCTTGCCCTCTGACCTGAGGCGCAGTGTGCTGGAGGACATGGAGGACAGTGTCCTGGCTGTGATGCCCCCGGACATTGCTGCCGAGGCCCAGGCCCTGAGGAGAGAGCAGGAGGCCAGGCAGCGGCAGCTCATGCACGAGAGGCTGTTCAGTCACAGCAGCTCCTCTGCCCTCTCTGCCATCCTCCGCAGCACAGGTAACGAGGAGTTAACTCCGCTCTGTGAGCACTGCAGTCGCCTGTCCACTCCCTCCCCTTGTGTGTCGTGTGTGTGTAATGGTGTGTGTTGTGTGTCTGTGTGAGAGTGTCGTGGTGTGTGAGGGTGTGTATGTGTGTGAAGGGGAGTGTGTGCAACATCTCACTATATGTACCTGTGTGTGTATATATTGTGTGTGTGTGCGTGCGCGCACACATGGGTGTATGTGTGTGAGGGTGGTAACATGTCACTGGCGTGTACCTGTGTTTGTATATATTAGGGTGTGTGTGAGAGTGTGTTTGTGCGTGTGTGTGAGTGTGTGTAACATGTCACTGATATGCACCTGTGGTGTGTGCAGGGGTGTATGTGTGTGAGGGTGTGTAACGTGTCACTGACGTGTACTTTGTTTATAACCAGGTTTCACTGGACGGCTGGGAGGAAACCGAGGAGTGCAGTACACACGCCTCGCGGTGCAGCGAAGTGGGGCCTTTCAGTGGGGCAGCGGCAGCCATAACAGGTACCGTAACCACAGCCACAACATCACAGGCACCACAGCCACAGCCACAACATCACAGGCACCACAGCCACAACATCACAGGCACCACAGCCACAGCCACAACATCACAGGCGCCACAGCCACAACATCACAGGCACCACAGCCACAGCCACAACATCACAGGCGCCACAGCCACAACATCACAGGCACCACAGCCACAGCCACAACATCACAGGCACCACAGCCACAGCCACAACATCACAGGCACCACAGCCACAGCCACAACATCACAGGCACCACAGCCACAGCCACAGTATGTGTCAGCTTGCCTCAGGGCAAGAGGGAGATGGGTAGAGACTTGGGGGGAGTCGGGGTGTGGATCGAGGTGTAACCTTGAGATGTTCCTCCTCAGAGCCTCGAGCAGCAGTAACGTGGACAGCCTCCTGCGCCTCCGCGGACGCTTGCTGTTGGACCACGAGGCCCTGTCCTGTCTGCTGGTGCTGCTGTTTGTGGACGAGCCGAAGCTGAACACCAGCCGCCTTCACCGTGTGCTGAGGAACCTCTGCTATCACACCCAGACCCGCAACTGGGTCATCAAGAGCTTGCTGTCCATCCTGCAGCGGAGCAGCGAGAGCGAGCTGTGCATCGAGATCCCCAAACACCTGGAGGAGAAGGGCAAGAAGGTCAAGAGCTGCCTGGCTTCTCCCCCGCCCCCTCCTCCCCCTGGCACCGGAGCCCTAGCTCTACACGAACAGAAAACCCTGGACCTGCTCCACAAGGTGGAGGCCAAAGCCACCAGCCAGCTGTCGTGGCTCTCCGTGTCCATGGACGCTGCTCTGGGCTGTCGCACCAACATCTTCCAGATACAGCGGTCGGGAGGGCGGAAGCATTCGGAGAAGCATCCCGGCTGTGGCTCCACCGTCCACATCCACCCCCAGGCAGCTCCCGTGGTCTGTAGACACGTGTTAGACACCCTCATCCAGCTCGCCAAGGTAACCTCCCCCCCCCCCCTCTCTCTGTGTTGTCTCCTTCCCTTCTCTCCCCTCTCTCACTCCCTCACACTCCCTCCCCCTCCCCCTCCCCTCCCTCGCTCTCGCTCTTCTCACCCCCTCACCCCATCTCTCTCCCTCACACTCCCTCCCTCTCCCCCCTCTCTCTCGCTCTCTCAAGCTGCCTCCCTCTCCCACAAATATACAGTCAATTCACTTTACAGTCTATTCTGTGAAGCGCTTTGGGACGTCCTCCCGACGTGAAAAGCGCTATATCAAATGCAAGGATTATTATTATTATTATTATTATTATTCTCTCTCTCTCGCACTCTCACCCTCTCTCTCTCTCTCTCTCTCTCCCTCAGGTATTCCCCAGTCACTTCACACAGCAGCGCAGTAAAGACAGCTGCGGGGAGACAGACAGAGAGAAGCTGGGGAGGCCGGCAGCGACCAGCCCTGGACAGGGCCAGGGCCAGGCACAGGGACAGAGCCCGAGCCCGGCCGGAGCTGGCTCCACCTCCAGCTCCATCTCCACCGACTTCTGGGACCTTCTGGTCAAACTGGACAACATGAACGTGAGCCGCAAGGGGAAGACCTCAATCAAGGCTCTGCCTCTGCCGGGCAGCGAGGGGGAGAGCAGTCAAGGCAGCCTGGAGTCCTCGCCCCTGGGGCAGCTCATGAACATGCTCTCTCACCCCGTCATCCGCCGCAGCTCGCTGCTCACCGAGAAACTGCTCCGTCTCCTCTCCCTCATCTCCATCGCCCTCCCCGACAACAAGGCCACGGAGATCAGCCCCAACCACAGCAACAGCAACAGCCACAGCAACAGCCACAGCAACAGTAACAGCAGCGCCACCTGCCCCCCCCTCACAGCCACCCCCAACCCTAGCCTTACCCCCAACCCCAACCTCAGCGTCAACACAACAGCCAACGTCACTGCTACACGTGAGTACTGGGGGAGGGAGAGTGAGGGGGGCACAGGGAGAGAGAGAGAGAGAAGGGGAGAGAGGGACAGAGAGAGGGGAAAGAGGGAGGGAGGGAGGGGAAAAGAGACCGAGCAATAGATAGAGAGAGAGAGAGCAGCGAGGCTGATCCCAGTGTAAACGTGTTGCGTGTGTCTTGACGTGTTTTGCAGCGACTCAGAAAGTGGCCAAGTCCCCGGCGAGGGTGGGGGAGACCGGCGGCAGCAGCAGCGACAGCAAAGCCCCCACCTCAGGCCTCACAGAGAAACAGCTCCAGCTGTCAGTGGAGGTAACGTGACTGTGTGTCTGTGTGTGTCTCGTCTCTTCATCTCTCTCTCTCTCTCTCTCTCATGTGTCTCTATCTCTCTCTGTCTCTCTCTCTCTCTCTCTCTCTCTCATGCGTCTCTATCTCTCTCTGTCTCTCTCTCTCTGACTGTCTGTCTCCCCCCCCAACCCTCCCCAATCCCCCCTCTCTCTCTCCCTACTTGCTGGCCGCAGTGACTGAGCCCCTGTGTGTGTGTGTGTGTGTGTGTGTCTCTCTCTCTCTCTCCCCCCCCCCCCCCCCGGCTGTTACCCACAGTGACTGTTTTCTCCTCTCCTGGCAGGTGTTGACGTCACACTCGTGTTCAGAGGAGGGTCTGGAGGACGCAGCTAACATCCTATTACAGTTGTCCCGCGGGGAACCGGGAACCAGAGACACCGTCCTCAAACTACTACTGAGCGGAGCTCGGCAGCTCGGCTACACCCTGTGTCAGCAGATAGGTAGGTCATCCTGTGGGACGCCTGTAGCTCAGGGGCCGAGAGGTTACCACAATCCCCTCGCAAGTGAGAGGACCTGGGTTCGATTCCCGGCCGGGCTGGACAGGACCCTCCCTCCTCACCTCCAAATCCCACCTAAAGGCCTTCCTTTTTGATGGTGCTGACGGTCACCTCTCCCTCCCTCTCCCCACCCCTCTACTCCCCCCCCCCCCCGGCTCGGGGTCAGACTTCACCACCGTCAATCATTCCGGACACTACCCCATGTGAAGGGCGCTGCTGCTGCTGCTGTTGTTGTTGTCGCTGCTCCGGCACAGGCACAGACACGATGGGCTCCAGTGCTGTCGGGCCTGTGGTGTTATGTCTCTCTCTCTCTCTCTCTGCCCACAGGGACGCTGCTGGCTGAGTTACGAGAGTATAACCTGGAGCAGCAGAGACGAGCTCAGGCTGACAGTCAGCCCCCAGAGCTCAGCCACGATGATCAGCCGCACATGGCCAAACTGAAGGGCAAGATGCTGAGCAGGTGAGAAAGGGAGAGTCTGTCACCACTTTTCCCCCCCACCCCCCCACCTCCCTCTCTCTCCCATCGACTGGCGGGGTAGGGGAAGGGGAGAGAGGGGAGCGCTCGGTGTCAGCACGTTCAGTCACCTACAGGCTGATAGAGATAGAGAGAAAGGGAGAGAGAAAGAGATGGAGGGGGAGAGATAGACTGATATACACACACACGGACACACAGAGTGAGAGAGACAGACACAGGGAAAAGGTAACACCCCAGTTTGTCTCTGTCTCTCAGAGAGAGAGAGAGAGAGACGGAGGGGGAGAGAGTGATAGAGAGACACAGACAGCCATACACACAGACAGACACAGACAGAGGTATCAACACCCCAGTTTGTCTTCGTCTCTCGCCCACGGGCTGACAGAGCGAGAGAGTGATGGAGAGAGACAGAGTGAGAGAGAGAGTGAGACAGGCACAGAGGGAGAGGTATCAACACCGCAGTTTGTTGTGTCTCACCTACAGGCTGATAGAGAGAGAGACGCAAAGAGGAGAGAGCGATAGAGAGAGGGAGACAGACAGAGACACACGGGGAGAGAGCGATAGAGAGAGAGAGTGAGACAGAGAGAGATACACAGGGAGAGAGCGATAGAGAGAGAGGGTGAGACAGAGAGAGATACACAGGGAGAGAGCGATGGAGAGAGAGAGAGTGAGACAGACAGAGATACACGGGGAGAGAGCGATGGAGAGAGAGAGAGTGAGACAGAGAGAGACACACGGGGAGAGAGCGATGGGAGAGAGAGAGAGAGAGAGTGAGACAGCCACGGAGGGAGAGGTATTAACACCCCAGTTTGTTGTCTCTCACCTACGGGCGGTTCAGGTTCAACACGACAGAGAACGTGGTGATTGTGGCTGCTCAGAAGCGACCTCTCGGAGGCCGGGAGCTGCAGTTGCCCTCCATGTCGATGCTCACGTCGAAAACCTCCACCCAGAAGTTCTTCCTCCGCATCCTCCAAGTCATCATCCAACTGCGAGACGCCACGCGTCGGGCGAACAAAAAGGCCAAGCAGACGGGCCGACTCGGTAAGCGTCAGCAGCCGCACACACGGGCATTGCTATGAGTATTTATTATCATTATTATTATTATGATTATCAAAGCGACTTTGGATGATCCCTAATAATTTAATCGTGGTGTGTTGTTACCCTGGGAGTGACCGGGGAACCGATTGGGGGCGGATCGCTTTTCCGGGAGCCTATAAAACCCTCCGAATTAAAATAATCGTCACAAGCAATTCGGTGGCTTCAACCCCCGCGGCTGTTTGTGGGGCCGTCGCCTCTCGCCCCCGAACCACGCGCACGGTCACTGCACGCGACGACGTGATCGGGCGCCGGGTCGAGCCCCGGGGCGGTGGTGGTGGTTTAATCGTGTCTGGGGTGAACGAAGGTGGGGGTGAACAGGGAAACGGGGCTCAAAAAGGTTTGCCCTTAAAGGAGACAGCACGGACGCGATGGGCCGAATGGCCTCCTCCTGTGCTGTTTGTAAGGTTCTCTCTACACAACGCAGTGAAGTGAGGACCAGGCGGGTGTGGGGCTTTGCGTTATATAGTTATATTGCATATCTCTCTGGTATCATCTCCAACACTCTGTCTCTCTCTCTCTCTCTCTCTCTCCCCCCACTCTCCCTGTCTCCCTCCTCCCACTCTCTCTCCCCTCCCCGCGCTCTCTCTTCCCTCTCTCTCTCTCTCTCTCTCTCTCTCTCCCCTCTCCCCTCTCTTTCCCCTGTCCCTCTCCCCTGCCCGCCCCCCCCTCTCTCCCCGCTCTCCTCCCCACCTCTCTCTCCCCACTCTCTCCCCCCCCACCTCTCTCTCCTCTCTCCCCTTCTCTCTCTCTCCCCGCTCTCTCCCCCCGCCTCTCCACCCCACCTGCACCTCCCTCTCTATTACCTCCACCCCCCTCTCTCCTCTCTCCCCCACCTCTCTCTCTCTCCCCCCACCTCCCCCCTCTCTCCCCCTCTCTCTCTCCCCCCACCACACCTCTCCTCCTCTCTCCCCCGCAGGCTCCTCAGCTCTGGGCTCAGCCAGTAGTATACAGGCAGCTGTGCGGCAGCTGGAAGCTGAGGCTGACGCTATTATACAAATGGTACGTGACGGGCAGCGAACCAGAAGACAGCAGCAATCAGCCATGGTTAGCATGATCCCCGCTCCCAGCCAGGGACTCCCTCTCTCTGTGTCCCTCGCTCTCTCACTCCCTCCATCGCCCTCTCCCTCGCACGTACCCTCTCTCGCTCCCTCTCCCTCGCACGCCCCTCCCTCCTTACTCCCTCACTGGCCTCGCTCCCTCCCTCGCTCTATACATCGCTGCCGCCCTCACTCGCTCTCCTCCCATTAACCCTCCTCTGCACTAACCTGTCTGTACATTTGTTTAAAATGTAATTGTTTTAACTTTAGCGCAGTGCGTGTGTGTGAGTGTGTGTATCTGAGTGTGTGTTAGTGTGTGTGTCTGTGAGTGTGTGTCTGTGAGTGTGTGTGAGTATGTGGGTGTGTGTGTGTGAGTGTATGGTGTGTGAGTGTCTGAGTGTGTGTGTGAGTGTGTGTGTGGTGTGTACATGTGTGTGTGAGAATGTGTGAGTATGTGTGTGTGTGTGTGTGGTGTATGTGTGTGTGTGCGTGTGATTGTGTGTGTGAATGTGTGTATATGGTGTGTGTGTGTGAGTGTGTGTGTGTGCGCTGACGAGCACGAGGTTAAGCACTTGTTAAGTGGCCGAACATTTGACTTTTTTCTTTCTTAAAAAGTCCGAGTCAAACCAGGCTGAGGCTGCCACTCGCAGAGAGGAATCCCCGATGGACGTGGATGAACCATTGCCGGCGAATCCCGAGACACAGTCACTGGGTACGTGTGTGCGTGCGGCTATATCTGTGTGTGTGATTGTGTGAGGTGTGTGTGTGTGTGTGTGCAGGGTGGCTGTGTGAGTGTGTGTGTGTGCGCGCGTGGGGTGGCTTTGTGTGCTCGCGGGGTGGATGTGTGTGTGGTGGCTGTGTGTGCGCGTGTGTGCGTGTGCGGGGTGGCTGTGTGTGCGTGCGGGGTGGCTGTGTGGATGTGTGTGTGTGCGGGGTGGCTGTGTGTATGCGTGTGCGTGCGGGGTGGCTGTGTGTGAGCCGGGTGACTGTGTGTGCGCGCGGGGGTGGCTGTGTGGATGTGTGTGTGTGCGCGGGGTGGCTGTGTGGATGTGTGCGTGTGCGGGGTGACTGTGTGTGCGCACGGGGTGGCTGTGTGTGTGTGTGTGTGTGCGGGGTGGCTGTGTGTGCGCGCGGGGTGGCTGTGTGTGTGTGTTCAGGTTGCTGTGGCTGTAGCTGTGTGTGTGACAGGCTATGTGTGTCTCCCCCCCCCCCCCCCCCAGGCTCGGAGGCCAGCCAGGCCACGGAGCAGGACAAGGAGGAGGAGAAGGGTCCGGATCTGCCGTTGCTCAGTGAGCAGCTCAGTCTGGACGAGCTGTGGGATATGCTCGGAGAGTGTCTGAAGGAGCTCGAGGAATCACACGATCAGCACGCAGTGCTGGGTAAGGCAGCAGCGGGAGGCGGTGGGGAGACATGTCTCTCTCACTGTGTGTGTCTCTCTCTCTCTCTCTCTCTCACTGTGTGTGTGTGTGTGTTTGTGTCTCTCACTGTCTGTCTCTCTTGTGTGTGTCTCTGTCTCTGTGTGCGTCTCGTTGTCTCTCACTGTGTGTGTCTCTGTGTGTGTGTGTGTCTCTGTCTCCCTCACCGTGTGTCTCTCTCTCACTGTGTGTGTCTCTCACTGTCTGTCTTTCTCACTATGTGTGTATCTCTCTCTCACTGTGTGTGTCTCTCTCTCTCTGTGTGTGTCTCTGTCTCTCACTGTGTGTGTCTCTGTGTGTGTGTCTCTGTCTCCCTCACTGTGTCTCTCTCTCTCTCTCTCTCTCTCACTGTGTGTGTGTCTCTCTCTCTCTCTCTCTACTGTGTGTGTGTCTCTCTCTCTCTCACTGTGTGTGTGTCTCTCTCTCTCACTGTGTGTGTGTCTCTCTCCCCCTGTGTGTCTCTTTCTGTCTCTCCCTGTCTCTCACTCACTGTGAACGCTTCCTGTCTCTCTGTCTCTTTCTCTCTCGGTCTTGCTCTCCCTGTGTGTGTGTGTCTCTCTCTCTCTCTCTGTCTCTCTCCCTCTCTCCCTCTCTGTCTCTGTCTCTGTCTCTCACACTCACTGTGAACGCTCCTCTCTCAGTGTTACAGCCGGCTGTTGAGGCCTTTTTCCTTGTCCACGCCACGGAACGGGAGAGCAAGCCCCCAGTGAGGGACACGAGAGAGAGCCAGCTTGCACACATCAAGGACGAGGCCCCACCTCTGTCCCCGGCCCCCGTCACCCCTGCCACCCCCTCCTCCCTCGACCCCTTCTTCTCCCGCGAGCCCTCCTCCATGCACATCTCCTCCAACCTGCCCCCAGACACACAGAAATTCCTCCGCTTCGCAGGTAGGTCATTGCCTTCAACCCACTGTGTGTGTGTGTGTGTGTGTGTCTGTGTGTGTGTGAGCTGTGTGTGTCTGTGTATGTGATCTGTGTGTGTCTGTGTGATTGATTGACTTGTGTGTGTGTGTGTGTATGTGTTACTGACGTGTTCCTGACATGCGTGTGTGTGTGTTATTGACGTGTCCCTGGTGTTTGTATGTTACAGAGACACACCGTACGGTGCTGAACCAGATACTCAGACAGTCGACCACACACTTGGCTGACGGCCCCTTCGCGGTTCTCGTCGATTACATCCGGATCCTCGACTTCGATGTCAAACGCAAGTACGTTTGTAGTGAGAGAGAGGGGGGGAGGGGGGCGAGAGAGGGGGTGGGGGGGCGAGAGAGAGGTGGGGGTGGCGAGAGAGGGGGCGGAGGGGGGAGAGAGGAGGGGGCAAGAGGGGGACGCGAGAGAGGGGCGGGCGAGAGAGGGTGGTGGGAGCAGAGAGAGGAGGGGGAGGGAGTGAGAGGGGGTGGGGGGGAAAGAGGAGGGGGGATGGGCAGAGAGGGGGGGGAGGGGGGGGGCAAAAGAGGAGGGGGGGCGAGGGGGGAGAGAGGAAGGGTGGGGAGAGAAAGACCGTGGGACTGACTGAGCCTGGACACAGACACACACGGACACAGACACCCACACACACTGCTGTACACACACACTGCTGTACACACTCACACTGCTGTACACACACACACTGCTGTACACACTCACACACACTGCTGTACACACACACACTGCTGTACACACACACACTGCTGTACACACTCACACACACTGCTGTACACACACACACTGCTGTACACACACACACTGCTGTACACACTCACACACACTGCTGTACACGCACACACTGCTGTACACACTCACTGCTGTACATACTCACACTGCTGTACACACACACACTGCTGTACACACACACACTGCTGTATACACACACACTCACACACACTGCTGTACACACTCACACACACTGCTGTACACACACACACACACACACTGCTGTACATACTCACACTGCTGTACACACACACACTGCTGTACACACACACACTGCTGTACACACACACACACACTGCTGTACACACACACACTGCTGTACACACTCACTGCTGTCCACACACAGTCACTACACTCTCTCTCCACAGGTATTTCCGGCAAGAGTTGGAGAGGTTGGACGAGGGGATCAGGAAGGAGGATTTGGCTGTACACGTCCGGAGGGATCACGTCTTTGAGGATTCGTATCGAGAACTTCACCGAAAATCTCCTGAGGAGATGAAAAACAGACTGTAAGCCATCGCTCCTCTCACTATCTCTCTATCCCCCTCTCTCTCCTCTCCTCTCACTATCTCTCTATCCCCCTCTCTCTCCTCTCCTCTCACTATCTCTCTATCCCCCTCTCTCTCCTCTCCTCTCCCTCGCTCTCTATCCCCCCCCCCCCCTCTCACTATCTCTCTATCCCTCTCTCTCCTCTCCTCTTACTGTCTCTCTATCCCTCTCTCTCCCCTCTCCTCTCATTATCTCTCTATCCCTCTCTCTCCCCTCTCCTCTCACTATCTCTCTATCCCCCTCTCTCTCCTCTCCCTCGCTCTCTATCCCCCCCCCTCTCTCTCCTCTTACTATCTCTCTATCCCTCTCTCTCCTCTCACTATCTCTCTATCCCCCTCTCCCCCTCTCCTCTCACTATCTCTCTATCCCCTTCTCTCTCCTCTCCTCTCACTATCTCTCTATCCCCTCTCTCTCCTCTCCTCTCCCTCGCTCTCTAGCCCCCCCTCTCTCTCTCCTCTTACTATCTCTCTATCCCTCTCTCTCCCCTCTCCTCTCACTATCTCTCTATCCACCTCTCTCCCCTCTCCTCTCACTATCTCTCTATCCCCCTCTCTCTCCTCTCCTCTCACTATCTCTCTATCCCCCTCTCTCTCCTCTCCTCTCCCTCGCTCTCTATCCCCCCTCCCTCTCTCTCCTCTTACTATCTCTCTATCCCTCTCTCCTCTCCTCTCACTATCTCTCTGTCCCTCTTCTCCTCTCACTATCTCTCTATCCCTCGCTCTCCTCTCCTCTCTCTCTCTTTCTCTCTCCCGCTCCCTCTTCTCTTCTCTCACTCCGTCCGCCTCTCTCTCTCTCTCTCTCTCTCTCTCTCCTTCTCTTTTCTCTCCAATCCGCCCGTAAAACATCCGGTTAAACACAAGGAATATTCCCGTGTGGCTGTGAGCGGAGGAGCAGAGTTTACTGATCGTGTCTCCGTGCCCCACAGGTACATAGTGTTTGAGGGGGAGGAAGGTCAGGACGCTGGAGGTTTGCTCAGGGAGTGGTACATGATCATCTCTCGGGAGATGTTTAACCCTATGTACGCCCTGTTCCGCACTTCCCCTGGGGACCGGGTCACATACACCATCAACCCCTGTTCTCACTGCAACCCCAACCACCTCAGCTACTTCAAGTTTGTGGGTCGTATCGTAGCCAAAGCCGTGTACGACAACCGTCTCCTCGACTGTTACTTCACCCGCTCCTTCTACAAGCACATCCTGGGCAAGTCCGTCAGGTAAACCTGGTCTCTCTCTCTCTCTGTCTCTCCCTCCCTCCCTCTCACTCTCACTCACTCTCTCACTCACTCTTGTCACACACTCACGCTCGCTCATTCACTCACTCACTCGCCCGCCCGCCCGCCCGCTCGCTCTCACTCACTCTCATTCACTCACTCCCTCTCACACTCACACACTCACTCATTTACTCACACAGCCCAGCCCAGAGCCCTCACTGTGTGTCTTTGTCTCTCTCTCTCTCCCCCTCACAGACATGGAGAGTGAGGATTACCACTCTCTGTCTCTCTCTCTCACTCACCTCTCTCTCTCTCTCTCTCTCTGTAGATACACGGACATGGAGAGTGAGGATTACCACTTTTATCAGGGGCTGGTTTACTTGTTGGAGAATGGTGTGGTCACACTGGGCTCTGAGCTCACGTTCAGCACCGAGGTTAGTTTGATGTTTACTGTATTAGGGACATCTCTATACAGGTAACTAACAGTGACAGCCCCCCCCCCCCCCACACACACACACGCACACGCACACGCCTGTTTACCAGCAGTGAGTAGGACCCTGGTTGTTAGTCGATTGGTGGATCGCTTTCTGGGGGTAATAATCTCTCCAAGTGAGTTTGTGGGACGTCGCTGTGCTCACTCGGCTGCCATGTTTCGCCCACAAAATACACAGTCGCTACACTTTACTGTATATTCTGTGACGTTTGAAGGACGTGATGAGGCGCCGGGTCAAATACGTGGATTATTATTGTTGTTGCCGTCGTTGAGAGCCGCTGTAACAGCCTATAATGGGGAGTGTTGTTGTTGTTGTTGTTGTTGTAGGTTCAGGAGTTTGGGGTGTGCGAGGTGCGGGAGTTGAAAGCAAACGGAACCCACATAATCGTCAACGAAGACAACAAAAAGGAATACGTCCATCTGGTTTGTCAGATGAAGATGACGGGTAAGTGGTCCTGAAGGGGTTAACACCGAGAGAGAGAGAGGGAAAGAGAGAGCCTTTTGTCTGTCCAGCACTGGGGATAGAGACTTGGGGGAGTCGGGATGGAGTGAGCGGGAGAGGGGGAGGGAGAGAGAGTTGAGGAATTGGGGTGGATGGTGGACCTGGGGAGTTGGGACAGAGACGTGTATTGATATGTGTATTTTGGGCGGTGGGGGGACAGGAGCCATCAGGAAACAGCTGGCAGCGTTCCTCGAGGGATTCTACGAGATTATTCCCAAGCGACTGATCTCGATCTTCACGGAGCAGGAGCTGGAGCTGCTGATCTCGGGGCTGCCCACCATCGACATTGACGATCTGAAAGGCAACACGGAATATCACAAATATCAGGTCAACTCCATACAGGTAACTAACAGGAGACACCTCCATCCAGGAGACACCTCCATCCAGGACACACCTTCATACAGGAGACATCTCCATCCAGGAGACACCTCCATCCTGGAGACACCTCCATCCTGGAGACACCTCCATCCAGGAGACACCTCCATCCTGGAGACACCTCCATCCTGGAGACACCTCCATCCTGGAGACACCTCCATCCTGGAGACACCTCCATCCTGGAGACACCTCCATACACCTCCATCCTGGAGACACCTCCATCCTGGAGACACCTCCATACACCTCCATCCTGGAGACACCTCCATCCTGGAGACACCTCCATTCAGGAGACACCTCCATACACCTCCATACAGGAGATACCTCCATCCAGGAGCCACCTCCATACTAACAGGAATTGAGGGGGAAGAAGGGGGAGAGGGGCCCATTGTGTCTGTGCACAATTGGCTGCCGCATTTCACCCACAAAACACACAGTCACTACACTTTACCGTGTGTCCCGTGAAGTGCTTTGAGACGTCTCGAAGACGTGATCAGGTGATGGGTCAAACGCCGGGATTATTATTATTATTATTACACTCATCTCTCTCTCTCTCTCCCCTTCCCCCCCCCCCGACTCTCCCCTTTTCTCTCTCTCTCTTCTCTCTCTCTCTCCCCCCCCCTCTTTCCCACCCCACCTTTACCCCTCCTTTCTTGCCCCACCTCTCTCTCCCCCCATTTCCCTCTCAGATCCAGTGGTTCTGGCGAGCGCTGAGGTCCTTTGACCAGGCCGACAGAGCCAAGTTCCTGCAGTTTGTGACGGGAACCTCCAAGGTGCCGCTGCAGGGTTTTGCTGCCCTCGAGGGAATGAACGGCATCCAGAAATTCCAGATTCACCGCGACGACAGGTCTACAGACAGACTGCCCTCCGCCCACACCTGGTGAGTGTCTGTGTGTGTGTGTCTGTCTCTCTGTCTGTCTGTCTGTCCGTGGTGTGTGTGTCTGTGTGAGTGTGTGTGATAGGAACAGGAGGAGAGGCCATTCAGCCCAAATCTCCGCTCCTCCACAGCTCTTCATTTCTCGCCGTGAAGAAAATATTCTGCTTTATCTTTTCTCGGTCCACAGTGGATGACCGCGCACTTCCCTACATTGAACCCCATCTGCCGCAGCTCTGTCCACTCACTTAATCTCTCTTACGTTCCCTTGTGACTTCCTGCTCCCATCTGCACAACTCACTGAGCCTCTGAGCTTAGTCTCGGCCGCAAACTTGGGCAGAAAACTTTCTATTCCTTCGTCCAAGTTACTTATATACATTATATGTTATTATGTGATGAACAGCTGGGGTCCCGGTACAGACCCCTGGGGAACACCACTTGTCACGTCCCACCGATCGGAGGACATTCCCTTTATCCCTACTCTCTGTTTCCTGCCTCACAACTTGTCTCTCTGTCTGTGTGTGTGTCTGTCCCTCTGTGTGTGTGTGTGTTTGTGTCTGTCTGTCCCTGTGTGTGTGTGTGTGTGTGTGTCTGTCTGTTTGTCTGTGTGTGTGTGTGTGTCTGTCTGTCTGCCCCCGTGTGTGTGTGTCTGTCTGTCTGTCTGTCCCTGTGTGTGTGTGTGTGTGTCTGTCTGTTTGTCTGTGTGTGTGTGTCTGTCTGCCCCTCTGTGTGTGTGTCTGTCTGTCCCTCTGTGTGTGTGTCTGTCTGTCCCTCTGTGTGTGTGTGTGTGTGTGTCTGTCTGTCCCTGTGTGTGTGTGTGTGTCTGTCTGTCTGTTTGCTGTGTGTGTGTGTGTGTGTCTGTCTGTCCCTGTGTGTGTGTGTGTGTGTGTCTGTCTGTTTGGCTGTGTGTGTGTGTGTGTGTGTGTGTGTGTCTGTCTGTCCTCTGTGTCTGTGGTCTGTCCTTGTGTGTGTGTGTGTGTCTATCCTCTGTGTGTGTGTGTGTGTGTGTCCTCTGTGTGTGTGTCTGTTGTCTCTGTTGTGTGTCTGTCTCTTGTGTGTGTGTGTGTGTGTCTGTCCTCTGTGTGTGTGGTGTGTGTGTCTGTCTGTCCTCTGTGTGTGTGTGTGTGTGTGTGTGTGTCCCTCTGTGTGTGTGTGTGTGGGGGTGGGGGGGTTATGTGTCTGACTCGGTCTGTCTGTCTGCTGTTACAGTGCTTGTTGTCCTCT